TCACGCCCGGATGCTCCAGCTTCCGTCTGCTGAACCCGCTGAAGGCCGGCGGCAAATATCGCAGCTACGTGCGCATGTTCCCACTGCCGGAGGAGGCGAACATGTACGCGGGTGACGTGTACATTCTGCAGGGCGAGCGGATTGTGGGCATGGTCGGCCAGATTCGATTCCGTCGCGTGCCGCGGCTTCTCATGGACAGGTTCTTCTCGCCCGCTGCGGCTTCCCATGCGGAACAGCAGCTGCAGGAGACCGCTCCCAGCGCCACCAGCGTGAAAAAGAGCACTCCTCCTGCTGCTGCGGTCCCTGTCTCAGTCCCAGTGCTCTTGAGCAACCCAGTCGCAAGCCCATTCCCCGCCGCCAGCAAGAGCCAGGACTCCACACCCCCGCTCACCACTCCCTCCCAGGAAGAGTCCGCCGGCGAATCCGCCGTCGTAACGCCCGCTACGTCGGACCGCGGCGATCCGGTAGACGCCGGCGTGGTGGGCCAGTGCCTGCAGGTGATGGCTCGTGAGACGGGACTAGAAGTCGACGCCTTGACGCCAGACGCAAGCTTCGTGCAGCTGGGTATCGACTCGCTCATGTCGCTTGTGTTGTCCGAGAAGTTCCGTACCGAACTGGGGATCGAGATTAAGAGCTCGCTGTTCCTGGAGTGTCCGACTATCGGGGAGATGACTGCATGGTTGGAAGAGTATTGTTAATAGATCGTCCTTTGCCTATCCATAGTTATAGCAATTTGTCTTAGTCATTTCTCAATCAACCTACAGCTACCATCTACTCAATTTCTCTAATCCCTGAAAATGATAAAATATCTATAAAATTAAATGGATATCTACTACAGACGTGTACATTCTCCATGAGATACTCCTGGATTTGTCCATCCTTCAGTGGGCTTTCTGTAGAACTTCTCACCGGTTTACAAGCTCGATCCTATATTTGAGTGTAAAATCGGCAAGTCGCAAGGTCTGTTTACGAACTTGGATCATCAAGCCAATAAGGATTATTCTATATAATTATGTTTATGTAGCTAGCTAAGCACCTATCTCGCCCACACTTTCCAGAATCACCATCCCTGACCACCCTCATGCCAAATTTAGGTGTTCTTCGTGCCTTGTCTGATGCGCATATTAAAAGCGATAGTTATAGAGTCCCTTGCATACTTCTATTCATTAAAATCCGGCGCCAAAACCCGGAGTCTCCATGCAAAATCCGCTCTTTCCTTCGGGTTTTACCCACAGCCTTGCAGCTCGTTCCCCCCCTGCAGCGATACATTGGCCTAAGACCAGAAGATGCAAGCAACTAAGGGACCTAGATCATTGTCCATTTTGCCTATCAAAATTACCGTGTAAACTACAATGGCACCCCCACTCCCAATCCTCATCATCGGAGCCGGCATCTCAGGCCTCACAACCGCCCGCCTGCTAACAAATAGCGGCATCCCGAACATCGTCTTCGAAGCATCCAGCCCATATCGTAGCCAAGGCTTCGCCATCAGCCTGCGCGAATGGGGCTACGCGACACTGCTGTCCGCTCTCGGGGACCTGCCGCTACGAAGCTTGACGCGCGGCGTCGCACCGGACAGGGAAATCGGCGGCTCGGGCTGGATCGACCAGGTTGTATGGGATAACGGGACCGCAAAGAAACTATTTGTGCCGGACGCGAACTCGTCGACAAAGGAGGAGATTGTCCGCGCGAACCGGAATGCGTTGCGCAGGTGGATTGCGGACTGTGGGGAGGAGGAGCTGGATGTGCGGTACGGGCATCGGCTGAAGAGGGTGGAGGGGAGCTTGGGGGATGTGCGGGTTGAGTTTGAGAACGGGGCGTTCTATCGGGGGCTGATGGTGGTTGCTGCGGACGGGGTGAACTCGACTGGTAGGCACTGCTCCTCTAGCATTGTAGGACTAAACTGATAATATGTGTATAGTTCGATCGCAGGTCCTCCCGGATGTCCAACCCGAGACTGTCCCTGCGGTGCTCTATCATGGCGAGTTCCAGCTGCCCAGGGCCGACTTCGACCGGCTATTCCGGCCACACACCGGAGAGTCCAGCATCCTCGCGGGGGTCGGCGATGGCTTCAACGCGCCGTTCGCCATCTGCAACATGACCAAGACGCACGTCCACATGGACTGGTCGTACTCGCGGCCGGCCTGGGGCAGCGGAGAGGACGACCCGCTGTATCGGCCCAATCTCGCCTCCGAGGACGCGAAGCAGATCCCCCCAGCGCTGGTGGAGGAGCTTGCGTCGCGCGACCTGGCCGAGCCGTGGAGTCTGTTTCTCAATGGTGAGGCTATCCAACATCACCGGGTGTTTCACTGGGCCGTCCGGTGCGTCTCTGTGACGCAAGAGGACATGCGGCGTGCTGTAGGGCGGGGCGTCGCCTTTGTCGGCGACTCGTGGCATGCAATGCCCATATTTGGCGGGGAGGGAGGTAATCATGCACTGGCGGATGGTGTCGAGCTGGCTGCTGCTGTTGCGGCCGGTGTGGCGGGCGATTTGGGCGTGGCGATTCGGAGTTACTATGACCGAGCGTGGAAAAGATCACAGGACGCGGTACGACGGTCCAAACAGCGGTTTTATGCGCTGCATCGGCCGATGGCTCAGTGGCGGGAGCTTTCGCAGAAGAAGCCTGTGTGACTTTGAACGGTTTTCATTACTAGATAAGAATGACATGCTTACACTGATGTTGAGGCCACCTAATCACTCCCTGGAAGCAGGCGGGAGACTGTCTAGCCCTCGGTCTGTATTCTGCTAATAAATATTTAGCGTAGTGTCAGAATTAGTGAGGAACCTAGTAAGACTTTATGGGTATCTGGCCCGGTCTCAAAGCACCATCGAACCAGGGCTGGTTGGGGGATACAATTGGTTGCTCCCTATTCATGGTACAAAGGATCACTGACAGTGGAATCCCAAGGACAATGCAACACAAAAGAACAGCAAGTTGTGCACGATCGATGCCCTACCACCCCATGATCTCGATCATCATACTCATTGCAGACTTGAATGTTGTAATAAGGATTGCTTTGGCCATAGTTCTCTTGGAACGGAGTGTAACCTGGCCTGACACCTAGTACTTGTGTTGAATTAAATTACAGCTTGCCGTATGGAGAAATTCGGCCATTCCTTCGTTTAATCTTTCCGTATAGGGATTCGGCCAAGACGATCACGAAATCACCAGAATTCTATGGAATCGTGATTACAAATTGATCTCGTCGATGCAGAATCTTTTCGAATCTGAATACCTTCGTTTCTCGAAGCATAAATAGTGCCTCGATAGTCGTTCATTAGAAAGAATCAGACCTTCATTCAATTTCGATCTTACATACAAATTCTTAGTCATTTCGAAACATTACTAGCGTAGCCGAATTCAAAAACTTGTCAGTTCGCGTCTAATATTTATAGAGACAAAGCCTGGACCAGTACTTGAGACATGACTGGATACCCCTTTCTTAGGACATCTATGGCTCCCGATTCCCAGAAAAGCGACATTCGCCGAACGAGCAGATCATGCCATAGGCGGCTAGACTGGTTACCAGGAGTAATCCAAGTCGCCAGTGCAAATGTATCAGTGGGTGTGTACCCACTCCGGCGGCGTCGGAGCCGGAATCGTAGATAACACCGGAATCGTCATGTACCTTTTATATAGCATCACCATACAAAAGGTACATACTCTCTAAGTGAAATATCTAGGTATTTGCTAAGGGTAACTATATTTTATATAGTAATATTAAAATTATACATTCTTATATCTCTAATCTTTAGTCCAAACTCTTAAAAGGATTGAGCTCTGGCTGTGTTCCCTACTAGCTCCCAGGGGATAATGCAGTACGAGGCTAGAGCTCTATTAATATCGAGAATTGAGATGATTGGCGAGGCAGATGAATTTTCTCCACCCCTTTGTAGCGAGCCTTGACACTTAGGGCTGGGAATGTGGGACCGATGCTGAGAATGAGAGCACTGGCTACTTTTGTGATTATTATGCATGGATGGCAATTGAGAGTAATGAAGATCAAAAGACCTTGTATCCATCTCGATGAGAAACAGACAAGAAAGCCGTAGCAAAGGGTTGACCAAGACGGGACGAGACACAGAAGCCCTAGGCTGGGTAGAGTATCTCAAGAAGATCATCTTCGAATAAATAAGGTTATGGAAAATAAGGCCGGACTGAAATAGGCATAACGAATATCGCCTCTTTCTCACTGGACGCTACCACAGTCCATGCTCGTATTGGGCAAATGAGTAAATCTGGCCACATAAACACGAGTAAAAGCCCTCGAATCAGCAAAGACCTTGATACGTGTCAGATTATAGATCGAGATAAGAATCTGCCTGTCACATGGGCTTGTCCGAGCAAAATGTTTCTCGAGGCTGATATTAGGTCGCTTATTTCATGTTCCACAACGCTAGCATGCTTGCATGGTCATCCAGTACCAATTGATATCTGCTCTGCTCTACCTGATTGTGCTGTAGTACAGTGAGGCTACGAGCATTCCGATGCGTCGACTCTCCTACAACAGAATCCTGCCATGCATCATGCCCGGCCTATTTCATCTTTTGTATGCCCACCTTCCCGGAACAGAAAATAACCTGCATCTGCCTGCAACTATGTGATGGCTGTCTACCTTATCGTAGTCGCTCGGTCATTGTTATGCGATCCACCGATAGAAGATATAGGAGTCACCTCTTACAAGTAAAAAAGCGCTATGCCCACTCCAGTCATTTTAAGAGAAGATACCAGGCAACATCCTTATAATGGTCGTATATCCAGGCACTTGCAGGGGTTGCGTTACATTGCCAATGGTTTCATCCTCGTGTTCACCTCGTGGTTCCCTCGTGTTTCCCTCGTGTCCTGAGACCTAGACCTTACGCAACTCGGAAAAAGATATCGCCACCCTAGCTTGTTCCGGAAACGAGAAATCTATGAGGCTTCTTTTCGCTTATCTGGTCCGATGAAGCATATATAGGCATGAACACGCCCAGCCACCGGACCACCATGTGTTATCAAGATGGAGAAAAGTAATCAGCGGAAACGCCCCTCAACTCCCCATCTCAGCTGCGAGCTCTGCCGCGAGCGCAAGATCAAGTGTGATAAGGTCGATCCCTGCACCAACTGCGTCTCGGCAGGCGTGGTCTGTGTCCCTGTCCATCGGCCACGCCTGCCACGAGGTGTCCATGCGCGACGAGCTCGCCCAATGTCCCCAGCGTTCGTGCCCGCACGCGCGCCTACCCCTGTTGCGGGTCCGGTATCTTCAGAGGAAAAGGAGACAGATGTTTCCTCCGGCGCCGTAGGGGCAGTTGACGACGACCTCAGGAAACGCGTCCACCGGCTTGAGGCGGTAGTCAACAGCATGCGTGCGGCCATGCAGGACCCGTGTCCGGCACCTGTTAGCCAGGTTAGTTGCGCATACCGGTGTATAGCCAGGCGGTGCTGACGAGGAACAGTCGGTTTTTAACAATTCATATCCGGCGCCAACAAGCTCATTGTCATGCAGTTTGTCCATTCCAAGTAATGTCCAGAAGCAACCACCCTTGGCTTCGCACTCTGATTGTTTCTGGACTAGTTTGGTTGGAGAGGTAGGCAATGTCTTATGGGCCAATCTAGACTGGCGCTGGGATGCTGACTGTTTCCCGTGGGTGGTGGATCAGATAGAAGACCTTGGTGGCGACGTAGGATCGAGCTCAGAGACCAAATCGGATATCCGTAGCCCGCTAGCACCTAACGTGTCCAAAATGGACGACGGCGGGCTCCGTTTCCTTGGCCTGAGTGGCAATAATCTGACCCTTACCTGGACTCCAGTCCTCGAAGACAAAGAAATGACAAGGCAGTTATGCCAGATCTACCTCCAGCAAGTCGACCCCATCATTAAAATCCTGCACCGGCCAACTGTCGAGAAGTGGATGTTACATGGGGAGCGGTACCTCGATTATCCGGAGAGGCACGTTGCCGTTGATGCGTTGTCGTCTGCCATTTGCTACGCTGCTGCCGCGAGTTTGACCGACGATCAATGTTCGGCCATGTTTCAAAGGAGCAGGTTCAGCGGCATTGTGGAGGATTCTCGAAGAGCGTGTGAGGCCGCACTGGAGAGAAGTGGGTTGCTAGCCTCTCCCAGTATCACTGGCCTGCAAGCATTTGTGCTTTACCTCGTAAGTACCGGCTTCTGAACAAGGCTCAAGTCCAAGAGCAGCACTGTTTTACTAACCCCGTGGAATAGATTGCCAGAAGATCCGAAGACCGCAGTCAGGCCGCATGGACGCTGACGGCGGTGGCCGTGCGGCTGGCAAAGGCACTCGGTCTCCACCGGAAGCGAGATGAGACATTCTTCAGCCAACAGATGCGCAGGCGGTTGTGGCTCACCATCTCACTGATGGACCTGCAAACCTCCTTCAGCCAGGCCTCCGAACCGCTCATCAACACTGAAGAGGCCACCTCCACATTCTGTCTGCCCCAGCACATCAACGACTCGGATTTCGATCCAACCATAACCCATGAAATCCCGGACAGGGAGGGGCTGTGCGATACCACATTTGCGCTGGTCACGTATCACATCCAGCTAGCAGGGCGGGCCCTGAATTTTGGCGCCGCGGCATCAACCCAGCACACGGAGTCTCAACAGCAACACGTGCAGCGCTTTGAACAGAATGCGCTCCGCCTGTTGCACTTTTGCGACCCCGAATCCTCGCCGTACGCGTGGTTCACCTGGCACGGCACGCAATGCCTCGTCTCTGGCGCTCGGCTGTCCGCTCTACGGCCGCTCCAGCTCCCGCAACCCAGTAACAGCAGTAGCCAGCCGCAGTCCTCGCCGTCTCCCAGCCCGCAGGAGCACAACCAGGAGCTTCTCCGCCTGGCCCTAAACGTCTTGGAAAAGGTACACCTGATGCACACAGATCCCCGCGGCGAGGGATTCCGCTGGTACGTGACGATGCCGTGGCACGCGCTGGCGGTCGCCATCACCGAGTGCTCCCTCTGCCCGGATGTGACCCAAATCCAGAGCGCGTGGCCAACCATCGAGGCATGTTATCAGCTGCTGCGCCGCAAAGGAGTCGCCGGCCAGGAGGAAGCAATCCAGCGTCCACTGGAGAAATTGATATGTCGGGTACGGGACAAGGCAGGCCCTCTTTTGCAGCTCGCAAGGCCTAGTCCGACATTCAGCCTCGGTAGCAGTGCTGTGACATCTGCTGCACCCACGCCGCGTTCGCGGGCCAGCAGCGCCCCGAGTGACACCCTCAGCGACCTGTCCTGGCCGACAGCTTTCTCCCATGCTCATTCCCAGCTCGGTGTGGATTTGGCTCCAGTGGGTCCCGTACAGCCGTTGGCCAAAGTCGATCTGGATTCGTTGTTGTTACAGTTCGATATTGAGAGCCAGCCGCTGCTTGCGGGCCAGATCCCTCGAGTGGACTCGGAGCCGTCGTGGGAGCAGCTGATGTCGGATATTGATCATGCCGAGTCGAACATGTTTCTTCCTTAGATGGACTCCGTCCTTCCGTCTCTCTTTGGCCATATACGGTTAGACTGGAGTAGGGATAAGACGATTAGCCATCCAACCGGTTATCCGGATTTTAGATTCTGTCGTTTGGGAGGCGGATTTCCTGTTCCAATAGAGATGAGACTTTTTGATAGTTCGCCGGTTTCTGGCAGAAATTTTCACCAACAATCATGTTCTAGATGCGACGCATAATATACCAGTCAAATACTGTAAACAATAAAAGACCATTTCGGTTTAGAAGCCAGGCTCATGATATTCTTCTCATCGTACTACAAACTCATCTACGATAGCATACCAGGCTCTTTGTGCTCTATGACCAGCCTGGCTGTAGCGCAACTTCTTCCATAATGCTGCCTAGATTCAAGGCGTATTGCTTGTGTTCGTCCTTTCTCCACCACAAGTGTAGCCTGCTACAAGCAAGCCTCGGATTTTGGCGCCTCGGCATCTCTGATGTCGGATTTTAGCATTCAACACAGAGCAACTGCTCGGATTAAAACACAACAAAACCTTTCTGCCAACTCCCTTCCCTAAGATAATCTGTATTCGCTGACTGAGGAAATTTAGAGTACTGTATACTCTGCGGACGCAATACAATGGCCCCCCGCATGCCATTCAACCAGGCCTTCTGGGAGGAGTACCTCTCCGGGCAGGATGCTACCCTCCCTTCTCTTCCCGATACCTCAACCCTCAGCAGCAGAGTAATCCGCATCCTCGGCGGGAATCCAGGTGCCATGCACCTACAAGGAACCAACACCTATCTAGTCGGAACAGGGCCGTCTCGCATCCTGATCGATACCGGACAGGTAGGTACCAACTTCCTATCCAACCCCTATGAAGCTAACACAGGCAGGGTCTCCCCATCTGGCTCAGCCGCATCATTGGGCTCCTGCACTCGAACAACATCTCCATCTCACATATTCTCCTCACCCACTGGCACGGCGACCACACAGGCGGCGTCCCCGATTTGATCTCCTACAACCCCACTCTCGCCGAACACGTCTACAAGAACCTCCCTGATGCAGGTCAAAAGTCCATAGACGATGGGCAGATCTTTGCTGTGGAGGGGGCGACCGTCCGCGCAGTCTTCACGCCCGGCCACTCAGTCGACCACATGTGCTTCTTGCTTGAGGAGGAGAACGCCCTGTTCACTGGGGATAATGTGCTGGGGCACGGGTTCAGCGTGGCCCCGGATCTGGGACGGTATATGGAGAGTCTGGAGCTGATGGCGGGCTTGGGCTGTGTGCTTGGATACCCTGCGCATGGGGCTGTTATTGGTGACCTTCCTAGCAAGCTGGAGGAATATATTCGGCATAAGGAGATGCGTGTGCGAGGGATTTTGTCAGTATTGGTGAAGGAGAGGGAGAGGGTGGAGGGGGACAGAGGGACGGAAGGCAGGAGGAAGGGGGGTATGACGCTGCACGAAATTGCGAGGGCAATGTTTGGGATGGTGCCGGACGAGGTGATTGACCAGGCTTTGGCGCCGTTTTTGCTGCAGGCTTTGTGGAAGCTGACGGAGGACCGGAAGGTGGGATTCGAGCCGGGGGATCCTGCCAAGAGAAAATGGTTTGCCGTTGCCCGTCGAATGACCAAACCACCTAGGCAGTACGGGTCGGTTGCACGTCAATAATCCTGCTCGGGTTATGCGGATGTTTATCATCTGCGCAAGCCCGAAGACGGAAGCCCATGCTCAATCTCCCCTCGCGCAATCTTCTCAGTTAGCGATCCTGCACTCCTGTCTGCGCCTGAACGTTCTAGATAGTCAATATTTGGCAGTGCTGTTTATTCTGTATATACCATCAGTTGAGAATTACAAATGGAGTTATGATAGGTTTCCTTTGAGCCATGCCTTCTGTGCCTCCAAACAATGCCTTTGTCCTCGCATGTTCAAAGGTTAGATAATGGCATGTGCTCCCCGTGCCTCAACGAGTGAGCCTGTGTTATGGTATTTGAAGACACTGCGGTATCTCATTCATTTCATTGTTCAATTTTATAGGCACAATGTGTACATCCAAACTATTTCATTCCCAAGTCCGCGCCACTGGTTCCCCTTTGGTGACACCCACTGGTCCTGATAGAGATCATATGGTAGCCCATAGGGCTGATCATTGCAGCTCGCCTGGGCTATCCTTGCTAGCATGATCCCAACTGCGCCTGTATCCAGAGCCAGCTGCGGGCTGTAGACGAGCGCGCGCGGGGGGTCCCAGACCTTATGAGCTGAATCAACGCGCGCATGGCAAGCCAGTTAGCCATCCAGCCATCCAGCCCCTACCGCACGGAACGTCAATCTACGCGACGATCAACGAACGGGGACCTCATTAGACCCTGGAATCTGACCTCCCTGTCTCTGAGAGCCATCTCCGCGCGGTCAGACGCGTGTTGCTATTGTTTTGATTGACGGATCACATTCACAGCTTCCTAAACGGGAGCCTGCGCGTTGCTCACCGCGACCAATCAGAGGCGCCGACTCCGGACCTCTGAGATTCGGCTGCTGGCACACCCAGCCCGAACCATTTGCTGACGATGACCCTTCAGACAGGACGGTTACCTGACTGGATTAGGGCTCCGCCCCCTCAGGCTGCCTCCCTGCGCTGGGTCAGGCTACTTGTGGACTTTGCTCCAGCATCACATACTATCACATACTTTGATTACATACTATCTCATACTTCCCACTGGGACCTAGTTGTTTTGATATCATGGCTCAGTGGCCGGCCCTAGCAGCTGGTGACAACTCTTCCATTGCTGATCATTCCTTTTGTTTTATAGTGCACTGTATGGAAATATAGATGTCATCAAATTTGCTCAGGCTCACCCTGGCAGGTCCGCCAAGGCCCCCTGGCCCTGGGTCGAAGGTTTTGCTCAGCAGGCCCATGTCCTAGTCATAAAGCTGCTGGATAGCCAATTCCACAACGCTGTAGCCAGTGATCACAGCACACAGGCCCCCTTCCCTCCAGCACCCTGAGCGCAGTGGAACACCTCCAGGAGAAGATCTTACACTGTAACTCAGCGCTCTGTGGCACTATATTATATATAGGCTGGTGCAGGCATGATGCTGCAGCCTAGCAGAGCAAGCAGAAGTCTTCCCTGGTGGTTTCCTTCCAGGATGCGCAGTCAGTAAAGCATGCTATCCAGTACTAAGTCTTCCTAGATAGCACCCCACTGTATACAGAACTATTTAACCCACTCTGCCAGCTCCTACAGTATACCTAATGCCTAAATTATAGACACGCCCAGCCCATTTGCATAGCTGAAAGAGTTATATATATATATTATGCTAACACCCATGATAAGAAGTTCTGCAAGGTTAAAGAGGTCCCTTCCTAATACTACTGCACCGTCTGCCATGGCCCCTACCAAGCTGACAGCAAGCAGTGTCCCATACACCAACATGAACACTGAATATCCCAAGATTAACTATGGAATTGCTACCTGTGAATACAATGGGCACCTCGTGCACTAGAAGGCTGAAATGGGAAGCACTTGGGGCGGCTTGAGTGTGTGTGATAGTAGCATTTGCCCAGAGGAGGGCTGCTAGCACGTGGCCCCTGGGAGCTACAGCTGGTAGCCTGCCCACGCCCCCAAGGGCCCCTGAAACTGAACCAGATGAAGATGAAGCTGAAACGGAGGCTGAGCCTGGTCTGAGGGCTGAAATGGAAGCCAGAATGGGAGCTAAAACCACCCAGCCCCCTGAGCTGACTGGACCATCTGGATACTGTAGTATAATGTCCAGAATTTGCTGGATATCAGCATGGCACCTCTCCTTTGGGACCCTTGGCTCCGCGACTATGTGGTTGTTGTTATCTAGGAGCTATAGGTTAATACCCATGGGGTTGCTCCCCTGATGCACTTCCCCTGGGATGCTGCTGATTATTTCTATATTGTATGGCTGGCTGTGGGGCCAGGCCAAGGACCTCCCTGTGTCTGCATATATGTATGGAAGACCCTGCGCTAGCAGGTCACCTTTATCTCTACACATGTTATCTCTACTGCCATCTAGCCAGCACTGGGCAAGCTGTGGATAGTGGTCCCTAATGTCTATAACCCACTATAGACTGCAGCAAATGAGGGGGTAGTGGACCTTATCCAGGCCCTGGAGGCTGTGGATTGATAATAGCAGGCCTCTGGTGAACCCACAGAGCACATGGTAGTTGGTGATTTCAATATCCATGATCGCCTCTGGGCCAGTGAGGCGCGCTGGCTCCCACAGGCCTAATATAATAGTGACTGCAAAGAGGCCCTGAAGTGAATCATTGAGTAAAAGGCTGCCGGAGCTGGTCACCCTAGTTGGCCTTATCACCAGGCCTATCTAGAGTTGCATAACCGAACCGCTAAAATCGAATCCAAGGTTCCGATTTCTAAAATTTCGACTCGAAATCGCAACGGTTCGGTGCCAACTAGTTTTGAACTTGCCCGAACTCGGACCGAATGCAACTCTAGCGGCCCGCCTATCCCCATTACCGTGTGGGACACTGCTGCCCCCGGCAGCCGGATTGTAGGGGCCTTCTGAATGGTGAGCAGGGCTACATTTCACTAAATTACACCTCACCCTAATGTTATTACTCCTCTGCTAATGCTGCATCTAGGCCCTTATCTAGATTGTAACCACTCCAGCCTATTAAATATACATTCTTGATTATCACTGATACTACTAGAACCTGCTGTTATACTCGCCGCTGGAAGCTGCAGAAGAGGAAGTTAAATTAGTAACTAGCATTAACCCTAGGGAGCTAGAGACATGCATACCATGGGCAGTACCTCCCTGGTAGGACTGTAGGAACCATTAGAGGTGGTGATTAAGGAGATAAAGGAGTAATTAATAATTTACTATAACATCCACTATATTACCTACCCTAAGGCCATTTAGATATACAGATAGCTCTGGCATCTGCAGGCGGGTGGGCACCACTACAGTATGCCTGGACCCTCCTATCTGCTGTCAACATTATTTAGGTTCAGATCATGAGCATACAGTGCTGGTCACAGAG